TTTTTTTTTTGTCCTTATGAACATGTAATATTACCCCTCTCGCCTTTTTAGTAGTATAAAACACTTTATAAGCATTTCGTAGTGTTATTGAATGTTTGAAAGCCGCTTGCAGCGTAGCAAGCTGGGATGTAAACGAATAGGTGTGCTTCTGTGTTATTGTTTACCAGTATTTTAAAGAGTTTCAATCATAATGTTCATGATATTGCCGTGAAAATTTGTATTTGAGTTTGCCGTTGTCTTTAAATGAAGGTTTAATTGTCTTATTGAGCGGTGTTATGCGCTTTGAACCAAAATAATAGATTATTTCTTTGCTAACTCTTCGGCGTTTGTGTATTTTCACTTTTGGCTTAGACGGCACGTGGGAAAGTAAAGATTAGGCCTACAATCGACTGTACAGTTACAGTTGCTATCGCTTTTAGCAAAGAGTGTTTCTGCTCGATAATAATCAGTAGTTTTGAGTCATTTATCGTGCAGTTGTGTGTTTGTAGGTGTCAGGTGGTGTTTGGCGTAATCCGTTTATCCCTGTTTAACACGCGAGCTGCTCTGATTCGCTTTGAAAGTCAGACTGACTACAGCACATATTTCACACATCACCTGTTTCACAAGAACAATATGGCAATAGTGTGTTATTGGTCCGAGTGGCATTGCCATTAAAGATATTATGGTCAGCTTTCTAAAATGTTGCAGACAAGACATTTGACTACACAGTATTTGTCTATAACAGGATTGTAGCTCAACTTAATTTGTTCTTCCATATTGCTCAACCAAACAATGTACATTGTTCGAGATATTTGCAATTCTTTTCACAGGAAAAACTGATCTTATGTGCCTGAAGGTTGGTTATTGATTGATTGATTCCCTGTCTTCCCATTGTAAACAGAATGGAGACCTCATCTAAAGAAGAGTACACGATCCAGTCGTTTGATTTGGAGACACAGAAACTCCTCAAAACTGCCTTGAAAGGTCATTATCTTTAATCTGCAGCAGTTTTGCATGACATATTTTACTGTTAGGCTCACAAATGTTGTTGTTGTTGTTGCTCAGATCCAGGTTCAGTTGACCTGGAGAAAGTGTCCAATGTAATAGTGGACCAGTCTCTGAAGGACCAGATCTTCAG